CGTACCACAATCTACCCCCAGTTCCAGCCAGTCTGTTGCCTGCAAACAAATTCCAGCTTCTTCTACTTGAGGTCAATGAAACTAGAGGCAGAGGCCAGAGGAGAAAGGAGTTTATTTCTGCAACCAGGTTGCAGAAAAGGAGAGGGGAAGCAAGCACTGTCAAATTGTCAAGTTGTCTCAAAAAGCTCAGCATGTGCTCAATATGTATAGCCACAAGTGTGTGTAAATCACTCCTCACTAAAATCAAAGCTAATCCCTTTCCTTTGAGTAATTATCTGGATTTCTGCTTTTCTTCAAATACCTATTCCTTGTTTCTCATCTGACCATTCCACAAACAAACCTCCCCATGACTCAGCACTGGTCAGGTTGTTCTTGTCAGAAGCCTTTCTTAATTTCAAAATGGCTGCCATCCTGCTAAACCTCAAGCTGGCCTGCTTCAAGCTGAGATTGTATGTACAAGTATGCTCTTAGAACACATAGGAAAGCTTCAGAACTCAAACCCAGGACCTTCCCATGTGGGTTCAGCATGGTAGACTATTGCAGAACTGCTGTCCTAATGTCTGGCACCTCAGAAAGTTTATTATTAAGGGCTGGTGGCATTATGACACAAAATAGTTCATGCCTACAAATTCAGTTTCTGTGCACATGGTAGGCACTATAAATGATTATTGAATAAGTGGGTAATGTAATAATGGAATTTTAAAATGCATATATTGGTCCCATTATATTTTGATTATTATTATTATTATTATTATTATTTTGATGGTGGGGGAGAGGTTTTTGCTATAGGGTGCATGTGCTAGCCAGAAAAACAGAGAAAGACAGAGAGACAGAAAGTGAGAAATCATCCCGCGGGGGATGACCACGCCGCAATCCCTTCTTCTCCATTCTCCTCTCGGGATCTTGGGCACACATGCACACACGTTTGGCGTACTTTTAAGCCACCAGGTCCGGGACTCAAACTGCGGTCAATTACACGGGGGTCTGGCGACATAGTCATTACATCTACTACTGGTCCCCTGATGATTTAAACTGAGTAAATTGACTATTTACTATTGGAATTTTTAAATGCATACATTGGCCACCCTATATTCTGATGATTTAAACCCTGTGGCTTTTCTATTTAGGATTGTGGATTTTTTTCTAAGCCTACAAGCCTTTCTACATCATTCCCACCCTCCTAGCTGGTTTAAGACGAAACCCCCTTGAACCGTGTTCAGAGTGTGGACTAGATGTGTGGAAGCAGGGCCAACAGGCTGGCCACACAACTTCACCTCATTCCTCTTGCAGTTTACAGCTTCATCTAGTTTTTGGTTTTTTTCCTTTTCCTTTTTAAGTCAGGATGCTCATGCATCTTTATTTGTAGTTAATTATACTCAATTACTTTTTTTTCACATTTTTTTTTTACCAGATTCTCAGAATTGTCCCAAGTTTGAGGAGAAAAATTGATTAGCCCCATTTCTACTGGTGCCTCCTGAGCCCTGTGCTTGAGTACAATGAGGTCACTTTGTTGAAGGATTAACTTTATATTACATTCTTTCAGAGTAGATGTATGTCCCTAAGGTACACCTACCCCCACTGATGAAATAAATATACCATTCTTTATGATTCCTCCCCATTACCCTCTCTGTTGATTTTCAGAGTTTATGAATAGTCACATATTTATACAACTGGCCAAAAGTACACTACTTATTTTTCTTATGGTCTGTAATAACCTATGCAAGGTTATTAAAGGGTATACAGACCCCTTTTAAGGCATACTTTCTTATGTCATTACTTTATACAGACGGGTCAAATTCCATCTCGGCAACAATCTCTTGTTCTTAACCTTTTTCTACGATTATAAAAGTAATACACGTTCACTGTGGAAAATTTTGAAAGTGTACAGCACAAAGCACTTGAAGACCCACTACTTAGAAACAACCACTGTCGGCAGCTCAAACACAGGCACATTTTCTTTAACCCATGCATCTTTGCTTAACAAACCAACCAACCCCCATATTGTATATACTCCTGTAATCTGCTTTGTGATGTAGGTATGTATTACATTTCGACAAGTGTTTTCTTCTTAATGGCATTTTTTCTGAGAACCCCACCATATTCTATTTAATGGGTGTGCCCTGAGTAAGCCATTCCTCCGCCTTCCCAGATATTTCATCTGTTTTCAGAATTTTGTTTGTTACTGTTGTTAACGTCACAGTCTTATCAGATGGCCCCTCCCACACAATCATTGGTTGAATTGTTTCTCCAGGCAATGCAATCTGAGAAATCATCGGGTTTCCTTGCATTTAGGATGGTCAGCTTTGTCTTTTGAATCTTTCCTGTTACCTTTGTCTACAGCACTAGACACTTTCACTGCAATACTAGCACCTAAATTGAGGGCAGTTTAACATATTTAAAAAAAGAAATAGGAGCAGCAAGCAAAAATCATACAGGCATGGGAAATCAATTAAAAGCCTTTGCCTTACTATTTTAAATATTTCCTCTCTCATAGCACACATCCACAGAATAGATGCTTATTTTTCTTTGGATAATGAGTTCAATATATCTAATTCAATTACTCTTTGTGACAGTAGAATGGATTCCCCTCAGCTCTTTAGCTATCAGTTCCATATGATATTTGAATTGACTCTTTTAATTGCTGATATTACGTGTCAGTCATTCTGTTATGATTTGGCCATATTGTCAGAAAAACATTCTCTCTTCCCCAATACATCAGACAGTCACTCAATTAACAACCGTGGGGCTCCAGACATAATAGGAATTCATTATGCAGTTGATTGAAGGGGCGGGTCAGGAATTCATATTTTATTGGTGGCTTAGACTGAAAAATAAAACCAAGAATTAGAATTTTCAAGATGATGAATTATGTTTTCAGATATTAAAATGATATGTTTAATTGTCTAAAGCTACTATTTATGGTTAAACATTTTTTGTTGGCAATTAGCATTATGGGTGGGGGTTGATATGATAAATAACTTAAACCGGGTGCTCACTCCTGTCTCATGCATTTCTTGATTAAATACCGTGAATTTTATGAGTAACAGCTTCCCTGCATAAAGAGTGCTATGGCTTTTTCTCTACAAGTCTAATTTGAAAAAAAAAGAATTCTTCTCAAGGGTTTAGAAAGTAATTCATAAAATGGGAGGAATAATAAATATTGTGCCTTAACTCATATGCTAGTATAGATAGAGAGATTTGGTACACCTGGGTGTAATTTTAGTTAATTTCCACAAGAGACAGGTTGAAAGTTTACTGTTTGGGAAGGAAGGAGGTTTGGTAAAATCTCATATTTGCAAAAATGATTACATTATCTTAAATGAAAATGCTGCTCTATTAACAACTTCAATAAGCATTGCATTTGGGAAAAAAATCTTTTTAATGAAAAGTTACCTGAAGTTCACTCCAACTTAAAATATACAAGTGAGGAAAAAGTACTTACTCTGATTTATGTGTCTTTTGGAGGTGTAATTATTGGCTTTTTACTCACCTATGTAAAACAATGTACTTTTGTAAATGGATTTCTGGCCACTTTATGCAGGCTTTTTTTTTTTTTGCCTTTTTTTTTTTTTACATAAAAAGTAAGCACTGTCAATCAAGAAATTTTAAGGTTTATTTCCTCTTTAGAAATGATTGATAGCCTTTTAGATTTACAAGTTGACAAGTTAAAGGGTTCTATTGGTATAATTATGTACTAAATTCACAGTCTTTCAATTTAAATGTCCTTTTAAAACCACAAGATTATCATACCTGTATTTTGAAAAGTGGGCCAGTCAGTTTGGGTTGGTATACAAATTGCTTCCATTAGCCTTGGGACCTATTTGAATTTAATACAGTTTTTTAAAGTTAGTGGTAGTATGAATCTTACTTTTAAAATTTAGGTTAATGGAAATGCATTTTAAGTAAAGCATGTGGCATCTTGTTTTCTAATGTATAGCTAAATGTCAGAACTACAAAGATTGTCTTTTTATTCAGTACGGGAGAAAATGTGTGGTTGAATACTTTGGTTACACTGAAAAAGAAAAAAAGAAATACCCTCTCCCACACACACCTACCCATTACTTAGAGCATATGGTGATAAAAATAGTGAACGGAGCTGCCTTCTTGTCCATGTTTTCAAGTGAGACAGGTGGAAGACAGTTCATATCCCAGACAGGATTTTTTTGAGAATTCCTGAGACAGACCAGAGTCCACGTTATATTGTATTTAACTTAAGGACACTTTGAAGAGTGGGTAGTCAATGTGGAGACAACAAGACCCATTGTCACTGAATATTACTGTAGGTTTGCTCTTCTCTGCGTCTCCTTAAACATGGTGTTTGGAGACTCAGTTGCTCTAAACTAGTACTCCATCAAGGTTGGTCTTTTTCTTGAAATAATATCAGTGCTGTCATTTTTTATGCGAGGGTTGAGCATCAAGCGTATTTTCAATACTCACATCTTTGCAGGCTGTCTAGGATAGAACAGATTTTCCACACCTGCAGGACCCATTCCCACCTGCTGTCCTCTGCCTCTCACCATCCTATTGCAGGCTCAGTTGCCTAGAAGGCACTGAGGTCCACATAGCTGAGGTCCACTAGAGATTTTTGCAGTCAAGCAGGTACTTTTAATTTTCCTGCTCTTGACAATGTGTAAATAACCCCTGCAAGCCCTGGAGCATTTCAGCCTGAGATTCTGTACTAAAGTGAATCCTAAACCTCACGTCAGATACCACTTCACTTTCTATTTATAATATAAAAAAGATAGAATTTGAACAGAGGAGCGGCCTTCAAGACCAGATACTAGTACTCTTTTGGGTGAGTCACTCCCCATTGGGGTTCATGGCAGAAGCAGAAGATGGAAATATGCAGGAAAGACACAATTCATATAATCATTTTGATCTAATTTAAAGTATCAATTAAACTTTGGGTTTACCAGTTGTCTCTACACCATCAGTATTGCAAATTGTGTTTTGTTTTATTTCCTGAAAAATGTTCTAACCACGTGACCTCTTTATTGCAGCCCTCAATGAGCCCACCATTGATTATGGTTTCCAGAGGTTACAGAAGGTCATTCCCCGGCACCCTGGTGACCCTGAGCGTTTGCCAAAGGTCAGGATATCTCTTTTTTGGGTTGTGTTTTTTGGAAAATTGGACTCAAGTGATTAATAGAAAAAAATTCATAGATAACTCATATTTTTGTGCTTTATATGTATGGTACTGTAAGGTAAGCAATAATTAAAGTACTGAACATTTATGTGCCAGGCACTGCTGTGTTTATTTTCACATACATGATGTCATTTCAATCTCTCAACATCCCACTGAGGTGGGTACTATTACTGTTTCTATTTTAGAGAAGACTGTAATTAAGCAAAGAGAGGTTAAATAATTTGCCCAAGGTCCCTCAGCATGTAAATCGCTGAACTGAGATTCAGACCCAGGTTGGATCTGGAGTCTGGACTATTTAATCACTACATCATATCAATTCTCAAGAGAAAAAAAAGAACACAGAATATCTACCTTTGCAAGAATCTGTACTTGTCCCTGGAGGGGGAGAGTAGATGGGGCTCAAGGAAAAACATATTGGTAGGTGTGGAGCCTGTGCAGCTAACATAGCCTCTTTCTACCTGAGACACCCTACCTAGTTGGAAAATAAGGCACACATATGTGAGAAATTAAAAAAAAACTAGACAGACTAATTCATGTCATATAGCACTCTGTCATTAACTTCCAATGCAGAGAGAAATTGACCTCTATTGAGTATTGTTTACCTATTGTGAAATTTGGGGGTATTTCCATCTCTGTACCTGAGGATCTTGGGCCCTGGGTGGGAGAGATTACCGAACACAACTCACCAGAACCAGAAATTATAAGCATGTTTAACACTCAGAGGAGAGAATGGTTCAAAGCTGAAGAAATTCAAAGTCCAGAATTAGTCATGCTACCATTTACTGTTTACTGACAGCAAACTGAAATTTCGTTGACTACACAAGTGGAAACTAGTAAATTACACGAGTGCTTGAGATATCCTTTCCTTGCCATAGTAAGTCTGGAGATCTGTTATTTCTAGGTCTATGCATCCTCATAAAACACTTATAAAAATGAAGTTGGCATCCTTCCTAGCTCCATGAGCCTCCTTGGGGGATTGGTTCACCATAAGCTCCTACCTCTGTGGTGGCTGCATGTGTAGATAGAGGCCCTGTCCACAGAGGCCCCGTCCAGAGAAAGCTGCCCCTCAGGCTGATGCACAGATGTGAGACTGGGGCCAGCAAGGGCACTGTCTGCCTGAAAAGAGGAAGGACCACGACAAGCAAAGGCATCTGTCCTCTATCCCAATCTTGGGGGAAGAATATTCCAGCCTTCAATTTTAACCTTCAGCTTTTCAGAACAGCCTCACTTCTGCCAAAGTGCTGTTTACCCTGGTAAAAACTTCTGGAAAGCATTTCACCAGAAGAATAAGTCATATGATGTCTCAATATGTTCACATTCTTGTCTTTGAAAGGGGCCTCCATCTTATAAGCACTCTCCAATAAACAGCAATCTCCTCTGTGAAGAGATTTATCATTGGGTTCCTCTGACAGGCAAGAATATAGCTCCCACACATTTCCTGTGGGATAAGTTAGTAATTTTATAGCATGAGGACATAAATGATGTGGGACCTAATGGTCAGAGCTTTAGCCGTCTTAGTGGTAAAACAAAGGCATGGTTTCTATGCTGGAGTGTTCCCATTGTTCCCATTTGGGGCTGTCTTCACTTTAGCGTTTGATTTCTAGAGTTCTCTGGAGAGGTTGAGGCACCAACTAGTGAGTCAGGTGTTGGACACAGTGAAACTCAGCCTGGCTACTTTATAGCCATACAACAACAGTTGACAAGGTCAACTGTCTTTATCTCTCTGTGTCTCAATTTCCTTATTTGTCAAATGGTGATGATGGTATTTCCTTGTTGGATTATTTTTGTAACCACTTATTTAGCACTCAACGCAGGTAGCTATAATTATTTGCCAGTTGAGTGAGAGTGGGAACCTTGCTTCTCAGAGTTCATGCATCTAATCGCTGCAGAGCAGGAAATTGTAATCCTGGAGAGTAGTTGAGTGCATGATTTAACTTCTGTGTCTCAGTTTTTCATCTGTAAAATAGGCATAATAATCATGCTGACTTCATAAGGATCAGGGTAAATCTGATAGAAGTAATCCTGTGAATGTCCCTGGTATAGTAACCCACTCATAGTCGCTACTCTAAACATATGTATTGAAAAATAGGAGACATAGGCCAACAGGTGGCGTGGAGGTTCAGGCGACTGATTCCCACATGGCCAACTACATGGTGTGTTCTGGACCCAGTGGCTTAGAAATCATGTTGGCATGTGTGCATGAATGCCCAAAAATCCTGAAAAGAAAATGGCGGAGGTGGAGGGATTGGGGTGGGGCCAATCTCCCTAGGGGAGGGGAGATGATTTCTCCCTTCCTTGTCTCTCTCTGATGAGTGCATGCACTCTATGGCAAAAAATCTGGGGGAAAAAGAGAGAGAGAGAGAGAGAGAAAGAGAGAGAGAGAAGGAAATAAAAAGATAGAAAAGAAAGCTAGGTGACAAATCTGTTTTCATGGTTGAGGTCTACAGAAGCCAGACAGTAGTGTTCTTATTCGTAAGGAAAGGAGAAAAGTTGGAATACGGTAGTTGAATTTTGGGTAATATACTCTCTTGAAAATATTTTTATGGTTGTACTTTACATTCAGAATGTTGAACAAATAGCATAGGCACGTGTCGCTTTGTCCCTCATAGCCTGATTGTGAAATTACCAGCTCTTTTTTCCTGGGTTTTGGAAGAGTCATCAAGGACACAATGGATTTGTGTGGTAAGGAAGCACTCCACAGCTTGCATCTAGCCACTGGCCATGCAAGGACTGTGACCGGAGCCCACCCCAGGAAGCTCTCAGTGTGACTCAGATTGGAGTGGCTGTCCTTTTGGCTCTGAATGTTAAGGTGGAGCAAAAGTTCAAGGGCAGGGTCAGGAAGTGGGGGATGGAGCCAGCATGAGGATATTCCTGCAACGGGAGATTTATATGCCTGCTGTCCATTGTTAGGGGATGAAACAAATTCTGCCTTCTTTAGAATCGTGGTCAGTGTTTGTCACACAGGAGTGTTTCACTGAGCTGTGGACCACACACCTTAAAAACAAACTCCACTTTATTAAACCCATGTGTTTGTGAATAGACAAAGAGAAATTCATACAACCACCCACATACGCTGTCAAATGAAACTGCTCCAAAGACCCAGCAGACAGCTTTCCATAATAATATGCCTTTGTACACAGGCTTGTGCTTTTTCAAAGAACTTTACATGCTTTGTTTTATTGGAGCCCCTCTTGTGAGAGAAGTCAGGAAAACAGACATCATTCCCATTTGCCAAATGAGAAAACAGGGGCAAGAGAATCCTTCTCTGTAAATTATTTTGTCCCTGAAAGTCACCATCAGTGATTGTTGCTTACACACAAATTTAAAATACTGTAATTATGCTAACCCCAGATGTTTTTTTGGTTTCCTTTCTCATATGCACAGGGAGAAGGGCGGGCTAAGGTTTTTTTTTTAAGTCCTAGCATTCTGTTCTATTTCATACGAACTTGACCTTCTTCTCTGGATCATGGCAAGGGGGAGGAATGTGTGACCAACTGTGAGGTCAAGGTTGCATTTTCTTATAATGTCTAGGTGAGGGGGATGGGGCCTGTGGTCAATCAGAAACTCTGAGATGCTGACAGCTGCACTGATGCAATCCAGAAACATTGAGCAAGGACCTCTCCCTGGAAGGCCAGAGGTGTCTCGACTCCCTTCCAATTTATTAGTATCTTCAAGAGGGGTCAGTGAGCATTAGCGCAAAGACAGTGAGAACAGACCTTGGGCTTCACTGGCATTCCGTGTGTTAGCCCTGAGTCTAGGGAAGCAAGGAAATGATTACTTCATGCTGACTGTGAGCCTGCGAGCCCCATACTGCTTTATCAAGGTGTTTTGTTTTGTTTTGTTTTGTTTTAGAGCATAAAGGCCAAGAGCAGGCTCTCAAGTCAACCTGACATAGAGTTTGGGAAATTTTGAGTTATATTTCCTTCTTGGTGCATGCAACTCAACCTCCCGAGCCTCAGGTTTCTTCTTTATAAGGTAGCTGTCCCACAGCCTTGTTGTTAAGTATTGATCATTTCTGCAAAGGGGTGTCCCTGGCTTATAAGTATTCCACATTGAGCAAGGACCTCTCCCTGGAAGGCCAGAGGTGTCTCGACTCCCTTCCAATTTATTAGTATCTTCAAGAGGGGTCAGTGAGCATTAGCGCAAAGACAGTGAGAACAGACCTTGGGCTTCACTGGCATTCCGTGTGTTAGCCCTGAGTCTAGGGAAGCAAGGAAATGATTACTTCATGCTGACTGTGAGCCTGCGAGCCCCATACTGCTTTATCAAGGTGTTTTGTTTTGTTTTGTTTTGTTTTAGAGCATAAAGGCCAAGAGCAGGCTCTCAAGTCAACCTGACATAGAGTTTGGGAAATTTTGAGTTATATTTCCTTCTTGGTGCATGCAACTCAACCTCCCGAGCCTCAGGTTTCTTCTTTATAAGGTAGCTGTCCCACAGCCTTGTTGTTAAGTATTGATCATTTCTGCAAAGGGGTGTCCCTGGCTTATAAGTATTCCTGTCCCAATAAGTGGAAGCCATTCATCCCTGCACAGTGGGTATCCCCATTTCACAGATAAGGAGCCAGAGGTCTCAGATAGCTGGTACCTTGCCCTAACATCACAGCTAGTGAGTGGCAAAACCAAGATTTGAACCCAGATCCTGAGGCTCAAAAGCCTGGCTATTTGCATTACATTGAGTTCCCACTTTTCCTTTAGAAACCCAAGTAATTCTGCCTTGTGGCAGCTGGCTACTCTTTTCTACCTTATCTTGGTCCTTCGTAGGTTTTCACCTGCTTTCCCTCATTCTCCCACTGAGAGGAGCTGGCCTAGGGACCTCCGCAGGGCAAATGTGTATTTTTTCTAAGAGCCAGTTCCTCTTTTAGAGAAAATAAAGCAGTTTGAGCAAAGTAACAAAGGCTGCATTTGTGTATTTTGCTTTATGGAGCTGAAAATATCTGGTAAATT